TTTTTTTTTTTGTTTTTGTTTAATGTTAAGTTTTGCAAACCTTGACTTTCTTGTACAAATATGCCTCACTTGCATGTCATGTACACGCGTGCACATGTATGCACTCACACACAACGGCACACACTTTTCACTTACACACTTTTCTGCATGTCACTCACGTTTCGCTCTGTCGTCGGTCGCATTAAATGAACTTCCTGTTGTTATTACTTTTGCCTTGTCTCTGCACTTCATGAGCACTCTACCTACCTTCGTCGTGAATATTATTTCCATTCTCTTTTTATTGTTGTCAACAAACTCGTAACTTGTAGTTTTCAACTAGCTTTGGTATTTTTTTTCCTTTTGTATTTTTTCTATTTTGGTTGTTTGCTTTTATTGCTGTTCTTCGTAACTATTGTGCGTCTAGTTATTTGATATTATTGTAGTTATTGTTGTCAGTTGAAGCAGCTGAAGTTGCCTGAAGCGATGTCATTTCATTTCAGTTTCCTTCGCTTCTAACTATTCATTCGTTTATTCATTCATTCGCTCGTTTGGCAGCCACTTCTTCAGACAAGCAAATGGAGGTATGCGAAAAATATTCAGAATAATGAAACTTCACTCCAAAAAGGCACATACATACCTGATTCTTTGAAAATCTTGAAATCTTAGCATTTACATAAGCGTATGCATATTAGGATGGGCCTTAAAAATACAACTTTTTTGGGGTCACTAACAAGGTTGGAAAAAATTTAAGCTTTTTTAGTCGACAAAATCTTGGCTTGAAATCTTATAAGACATATTACTGAAACTTATTCATGTACATTCATAAACTCGCTGAGTTGTAGCTGTTCAATGTCAAATTTGTTCAATTTTTGTGATAAAAAAAAATTTAATTTTTTTAAATATTTCTTTTTAATTATGAAATTTTCGTAAAAGTTTCTTCCCAACCTCTTGATCCCACAAAAACGTTTCTATATTTTCATATTCAGATTTATATTCACATTCATTGCCCTATTCATATCATATTGCCTTTCGCATTCGTATTTCTAGCACACCATTAGATAGCATTAGTAAGTTAAAAATCTGCAACTCTTCGACTATTTATATAAGACTTCTATTTCTTTCAGTTTTTTTTTGGTTTCTTTGTTTTTCATCCACTCTCCTTCATTAAAGCAGTAGTTGAAACTTTTCGAGTAATTATCTACTTATATTTTCCGCTTTTGTCTTTCGTCCTTTGTCTCTCACCTTGTGTACTTCTATTACCAGATTTAACAGCACAGAGAGTTCTACAATCTCGACAAACCAAATAAGCATTTGTATTGTCAATAAGTTTTTTGTTTTTTGTTACTCCATACAGCATTCTTTGTTTAAGTTTCTCTACTTGATTACACCACAACAAGTGGACGTACAGAGAAAACTCGAAAGCAGTAGAAAATGTGGAATAAAGTTTAAATTTAGAAAAAGACTTTACTAGGAGAAGTGGAACTGTCCTCTTAAAAAAAAAGTGCATACGTACCTATGTAAATAACAAAAAGTTTTTATTTAAACTAAGGGAATTCGATTTTAATAAAGTTTTATTTATTCATCGAATTTTTGCTTCTTCGGTGATTTCCATTAGAATTACTCTATTTCGAAAGTTCTTCAAAAAAGGATCAAAGAGGAGGTTGCTCCAGTTGATCCTTCCATCATGTTCGGCAGTGCCCTTTATTTCATTGTCCATCCATAGATGCCAGGTCGAATAATCTTTTCAATGAAGCGTCGTTGGACCGCTCCTCTCTCAGATTACTAGTCGGGGTAATAACCGGACACTGCTTGATGGGCGACACGGATAAAAGTTAGAATAACCCACCAACGATTTTGGTCGCAGTTGCAAAGACGAGGAAGAGGTGGAGAGCATCAAACATTATCTCTTCTTTTTCTTCGATAAATCTCCATCTAATTTTCCTCGCTGCCTCTACAGGAACCAGCCCCGGTGTTGAAACCATTTAATTGGTGCTTTTTTAATGTTTTCCAGCATTGCAAGCTCTTCGCATACCTGATTTTAAGCCTCTCGTTTCTTCCTTTTGAATATACATGTATCCTTCCTCTTTTTCTACCGGTATCGCTCAACTGTCGCTCGCGTAGTCTCTTCCGCAGTGACAATAACAGAGTGGAAAATGAATGCCCACTGCTCCTTTTTATCCGGTCGAGGAAGAGTCTCCTGTTTAGGAAGGTTTGGCGAAATTTTTCACTAACAAAATCTGTTTCCTAGCCGGATAGCAACCCATCATTTTGCTTTACTAATTTTTACTTATAACTAAATTGTATTTGATAAAACATACATACATATATATGGATGCATCTCCAATTGTCTATTAATTTATTTTGCGGTTCAACAATAAATTGTTTGAAATGAAACTCTCAACACAACAACAATTTTATAATCGTTTCTCTCTCCTTTCTATACCCGCAGTGCGGACGAAGGCTTCGATGGCACCTACGCGACCAACGTTGTGGTAAGGAATAATGGTTCGTGTCTTTATGTGCCGCCCGGTATTTTCAAATCCACCTGTAAAATCGACATCACATGGTTTCCATTCGATGATCAACGCTGTGAGATGAAATTCGGTTCATGGACATATGATGGCTTTCAGGTAGGCGAAATAGTAATTTGCTTATACATACAAAAAAAATTTTGCATTGAGGTAAACGTTTTTCGGAAAGAATTATTATTTTTTAATTATTTTTTGTTTATGAAGCCATGAGTGGTGTCGAGAAATAAACAAATACTAGCAAAAAATAAACGCCAGCATAAAAAGTAACACAAAAAATAAAATCAACAAAGCGATATACCCATACAAACGCTTGGTTTCAAAAGCAAATACATATGTATGTATGTATTTACTAAACTACATACGCGGTTGCATTCAAGCCAGCTGTGGCCATATCGATCGTCCGTCCTATAGACGACCACCAATCATTGGTCAATTCATGCATATTTCTTTTTTTCACTGTTATGCCATTTTCATTCCGTTGAGCTACCCATAAATAAAAAAAAAGGCAACCGGCAGTTACAATTTGAAAGCATCGCTTATCACTTCGCATGCCGTCTCATGTCACTCATTTCTTATCACCAGCCACGCCAGACTATACAGAAAACAGTTCAGTTGAAAATGAGCAAACTGAATCAATAAAGCCAATGTCAAGCGTATCCTTTTTTCCGCAGGAGCTCTGCTTAGTCGCCAATTATCACTTTCCTTGTAAGCGTTTTTTTTTTTTGTCATTCTTCTGCCACTTTATTAAGTCGACAGCTTATGGCAACGTCGAGGCCCCTTACTCATTCCACTGTCCAATATAATTTAATTACTATCGAATTAATTCCATCGCTTTTAATTTGAAAAATTGCTTAAGGCCAGATAAAACAATAATCATTACAAGTGCAAAATAATCGACAAACGCTGGTAAATAGCATGAAAGCAAAAAGCAGCGTGGAAATAACAAACAAAAGGCTGAAGTGATAACCGATAGCGAACCAACAAACGCATTTGAAATGAAAAAACAATTTCATCGTTGTAATTTGCGTAATTATATTTAATGGTTTTCTAATATGCCCAATGTAACAACAAATAATTTGTTGCGCGCGCGCGGTAATTTGTTGTAGTCGATTAGCGTGTAATTGCCGTTTTAATAGTTCTGTCAATTTCGACAGCCAGTGCGTATTTTGGTATTTTCGGATTTTTTTGTATAACTTCTACATTACTTATCTAAAATGTTGTTGTTGGTTGTAATTTGGCTGTTGTAAAAGCATACGTGCATACATATGTTTCACGCTTCTATTCGATTAGGCTGGAAAATAATTATTTGTAAATTGGTTAAAATTAAAATGACAGCAGGGGGTCTAAAATTCCATTACAATGGGGCGAATAAATGATTAACTAATTTTCTAACCTAGTAATAATAAGCCGCCTCGAGTTTTCGTAGAGCGAGAGTAATTCACACATAGCGAGCAGAGAAGTGGTGAATCGAAGGCGGCTATACCCTGCAGAAAAAAGTTATCAATTGATAAAAAATAACCCACTTGTAGTTAGCTTTTCTGCGGGATTTGTATGAAATATATAACTTGTAGTTAGCTACAAAAAACTAACTCCAAACTAGTTGACAAGTAATGCAGGAGATTGTTTTATTTAAACTCGTTTCTATTTAAATATCCTGCACTTCGCAAATACATTTTCGAATTGAGGACAAATAAAAGGAAGATCGACATTTCATATTATCATTTTGAAGTTATGTCTGACGGAGTTCGAATATGGGACTACCTATAAACAAATACGAAATGTAATAAAATAAATAAAGTAAATTAAAAAAAATATAAAAAATATTTAGTTTTTCCTATTGATATTTTATGTCCTAAAGTAGTTAGTTACAAGTTAGTTACGTCGAATGCAGAGGTAACCAGCCTTGACTATTTCGTGGTCATCGCCTTAGGATTATAGTCAGCTTTCGTCAAAGAAAATATACAGATAATAGTGACTTTTAGCTCCTTCCTAATTAACTTAAAGTTAGCTTATAGTTAGATACATTTCCTGCAGGGTAGTTACGAGAGAATCCAGCAATACTGTCTCAGTCATAAGTAAGCTGCTGATTTTTATGCAGAAAACGGGCTTAAAAATATGTACCACATAACTATAAGCAAAGTGTATAAATTTGTACACATTTTGTTTATAGTTAAGTGGTACATATTTATAGGCTCCGTTTTCTGCATAAAAATCCGCAGTCTAGTCATAAGGATGAAGTCCGTCGTTTGACGTCAGACTGCTGTTCTAATGGGCTACTCAGTCAAACCCCTTAAATGTTGTTGAATATTCTGACGAGTGGTTAGTTTTAAATTTCGTATAGAATATGATCTTAGTAAAGTCGCCCGAGTAAATGCTTTAGATTTGCTTTATCAGCCGTACCACGGTTAAGCCAATTCTAAAGGTTGGCCTTGCTGTCTTTGTCTCTCATCGGATGATTAGGTCCGTGCCCGCCAAAGATATGTCTTAGTGCCGTCAAAATCTTGAAAAGGAAAAACACTGTGCTACTTACTATGTCACTGCAAAATTTAGGAAAATGAAGCCGGCTTCTTTTGTAGTACTTTGTAAAAGACTGCCTATAGAATGCTGGAATTTTATCACATCCAAGTTTCTGGCGCTAATATGCTCTATATAGGAAGCTGATGTGGAAAGCAAAAATCAAGTTGAAGGTAAATCAAGCTCTGATACTTTTTGGGCATTGTCAGAGAACCTTAAATAAGAATTGGTGTCTGCGAACGGCTATGGTACTTTGGGTATACTCAGCTTAAATCAGGCACATCATCGCAGATTCTGTTTTCAATATGGTGGCGTGGATCTATGGTCATAAAACGGGGACTGATTTTTATGATCTAAAACCCATGAAAAAAGCAAAATAACATGGCAAAATATGTAGTAGGGAAATGCACTAAAAATTTAAAAATTGGCAAGAAAAAATGCAACTGAAAAACAAAAATAGGCAAAAAACCACATTTATTTTAGAAATGTCTCTTTTACAAGAAAACCCAAAAATTTATTTTTTAGTCATCAAACTATATCTTGAGAAAATTTCATTCTATGGCAATTAAGAAGTGCATACGGAAAAATTTCATAAATTTCATTGAAGGAAATTTATGAAAATTTTTGCGCATACAGGGCTGTATAGCATGCATAGTTGCCCAAACCGTACTAAACGTGCACTCGACGTGAGCTGATATATGTGGTGCCAAATTTAAATAGGGATTATTGAACAAGGGTATTGATCACGCCCTCTACTACTTTATTAACGCTTATTATTGCCTCCAAACCTTCATTGACTGAAAAAACGGCTTTGAATTTTTCCAACACCACTTTGGTAATAGGCCACTTACGCTTCTATAAACCGCTTCTAAATTTTAACCAAAATATTTAAACATTGTTTACACTGCTATTTCTAAATACTAATTTTTCCCAGCGCAAGTTTTGAATATGATATGATTTTTTAACAGCGGCTCCCCTCGGCAGGCAAAATAATATTATTTTTATGTGCATTGGGGCTCTATGCCTGAGCGCTTGGAAGCTCTACCTACGTTATTCGGTATAGTTCAAAATTAATAGCTTAATCTTCATTGATGGGACGGCATAGTAAGTTCTCTTCTTGCCGCCCAATGGCCCTAGCGAAAAATCTGAAACAGAGAGATAATTTTTCGATAAAATCCGTCAGTCTGCTAAAAGGACCCATTTTGTCATGGCATATCCAGACGCCTATAAGTATTTCATTAGGACTACAGCACCGTTCGAGTATTAGGATTAGCTCTCTTGACAGGAAGCAGACTGTGCTTATAACACTGGTGCCATAACTGTAAACCCTTATTATTTGTGGAAAGTGACATCAGAGAAAAAGTTTAGTTAGTGCGACGGATATCTAGGCAACCCCACAATCAACTATTCAACCAGCTTTCCGCTACTTCCACTAAATACTTTCTGATAGTTTATTTACTTTGTGTGTTCAAAAAAAATAATCTGAAAACCTTAAAGTGGTATCAATTTTGGTAAGGCAGTCGATATTCATCGCACACAGCACACTCAGTTGCTGTGGCATCCACTTGTAAAACAAATAACAGATACAATGGTGTGGTACCCAATGCAACACTGCAGTACCACTGTGTGGAAGATAAAAGTAAATTTTTAGCAGCAAACGCACAGAATTTCCATTTTAATCTTTCGAATTCGAATTTACATGGCTTGAAACTCTGCCAAAGACATTTTCAATGCACTCAAATCGACATGAAGGCGGTGCACTGTTAGCAGTTGACTGCTTTGTGGCAGCTAAGTGTTGGCTCACGGAAGTGGCACTCACTGGCAGAAATCCATGCGTGGATTTACACATTTGCCAACTAAGTAAGTAGTTATACATAAACACACACATACCTACATACATACATATGTATATTTTTTATGTGTGTAAGTGTACGTGCGTAAATTTAAAAAATTTATTATTCATAGCAGCGCTTGCGTTAAAATCGCTTAACTTATTCGAAATTTACTTTTCCACTAAATGCAGTCGCATTAGATGCAGCGACACTCGTTTTGGCGGCTGACTAAAGATTGAGAAATGTTGAAAATTGGAGACAATTCTAAATCGCGAATTATGGCAAGTAAATTTGTAAAACACTCAGCAGCGCACTAGGTGCAACCCTATGGGGGCAGTGGAAATTGTTAGCTGTGAGTTCGATTATTTGCCTCCGCACTCAGTGCTACTAAAACGGCTGTATCAAGCAGGCACACACACACACATGCACGCAATTTCCTTCTGCTGCACTTAGCACACCACAAAACCGAAATGCGTAAACTTGGCATAAATATTTGATTGTGACTGTTTGTTGCACGCAAAACAAATTCGGTTTGTGCCAAAGTTACTGAAGTTGAAAGTGCGATATGTTGCGGTCGCTGCGCTAGCTCCATCAGCTAGCGTGTGACACTTCTTGCCACTATTCTCAATTTAATTTTTTGGCATTGACGTTTTTTTCGAGCCAAAATAATTCGATTGTAATATTTGACGTGCAAACTTTTTTGTGGCAAAAAAAGAAACGGACACAAAACTGTGGGCGGCCCAGCCCAAACAG